CTCCTGATCTCTGCCTCCTGAGTAGCTAGGATTTGCAGGTGTGAGCCACCAGGCACCCAGCTAAAAATTCTTACCCGCTGTAAACAATCACTGACTATAGATGATGTCAGTGTGTGAGCCACAGTTGTCCTGTGGGGACAGAGGAAGTGTCCCTCACAGGTTGTGTCTTCCGTCCTTCTTACCAGACCTTTCAACAAACACGTTAAATTTAAGAAAACTCCGGTGTGTCATCCTGCAATCCAGTGTTCTCATGGTCACCGTCTTATGAACAGAACAGAGCAAATGCCGCTCTCTCCATGCCTTCTCCACGTCCTGTGACTTCCCTCTTAATAATCTGCCATTACCAAATTTAGCCTGTTAAGGAAAGCAGATAGTCAGCTTCAGGGTCACTTGAAATTTGAAGGCATCGATGCTGAGGGAAGTAGAAGCTCATAGGTTCTTAGTTCAGAGCCTTTCTTTTTTTTTCTAGATTTGAATATGCAGATGTTACTGCATTTGTATGCATGTGATATATTTATTTATGTCTATTTTTGCAGTGCTAGGGATGGAACCAAGGATCGTGCACATGCTAGGCAAGTGCTTTACCGCTGAGCCACACCCAGCCCCCACACAACAACCTAAGTGCATCTTCTTGACTAGTGAGGGAAGTCACCTTTTATTTGTCTGCATCTTTTATTTTAAATTCAGCACTACTTATTCTCTCCTCCCTGATATTTTGGAGTTTGATGACAAACCTATACTTTAGTTAGGCTCCTCCCTAAACCTTTGTCTGTCCAGCATGAAATAGTTGCAGTCTCTAGGAAGAGCCCATCTGCTTTGTGGCCTCAGTCTCGTTTCTCAGATTTCTTCCAGCTCTGGTGTGTCTTTCTTTTTTTTTTTTTTTGAAATATTAGTTGTTTTATTTTTATTTTTATTTTTTTTCATTTTTCTTATGGTGTGTCTTTCTTAAGATGTGGGGAACTGAAACTGCATGGCACATGTAGCTGTGAACACAGAGTGAGGTTCCCCGCCCGCCCCCCCCCCCCCCCCCGCCGGTACTGGGGTTTGAACTCAGGGCTTCATGCTTAGCAGGCAGGTACTCTCCCACAGAATAGTTTTGAAGGACAGAATGGCGAGTTTTCATTTGCTCCTGGTGTCCTTTGTGGGCCTTTCATAATGAAACAAGCAACATATCGTAAGGAACTGTCCACCCTGAAACACAGGCCTCTTAGGACTGGCTAGCTCAGAACTGTGATTCCAAAGGTCTGGTGGAATTGCTCTTCCTGATACCCCTTTACGTCTGCTCTCATTGCCGTAGTCCTGTTTATGAGCCTCTTGGTGTCTTTTAGCTCCGCATTTTGTTCTGGAGCAGCCTTAAGGCCATTTGCAAACTTGAAGGTTTTATTTTATGGCTTCAGCAGACATTTGTTGAGTGCCTAATGCGGAATGCAGTGATGAAGAGACAGATATGCCCCTCCCTTCATAAAGCTGTAGGCCCAGCTCCCTGCCACCAGCTGATTGCTTCCCCAAGCGTTCCGAGTCTGTGGGCCATATTTAAAATTCTTGTTCATGACCCTTACTTGGTAGTGGTGTTTCCAGTGGCTAGTCCTTGAGAGCATGTGTTGCTTTGGGCTGTGGAGAGACAGCGTGTCATGGTGGGGAGCACATAGTGGAGCAGCCCGCTCACCTCATGGAGCTGGAAAGCAAAAGAGTGAGAAAGGGGAGCAGCTGCCATCCCAACAGCCCCTCCAGGGCACATCTGACTTCCTTCCACTACCCCACCCCCCAATAAAGCCATCCATGACTGGCCACCAAGCTTCTAACACATCTAGCTCAAGATCTGAGCTAGAGCAGGTCACTTGTGGGGTGGGATGCACCATCATTTCTAAAGCGCCAGGCTCCAGTGCAGAGCTGGTCAGTGGGTTAAAAACCCCACTGTCCATAGCCCCTCCTACAACAGTCACACGAGTGTACACACACACTAGCATCCACTCCAGCTCTGTGCAACTCATTGTTTTGGTTTTGTTTTTTGGTAGAATTTTGGTACTTAAAATCTGTAGAAATTCTTTCTGCCTACTAGTTCTGCCATAATCATAAAAAGTCAAATTGTTTTTACCCCTCAAAGAACCTAACAGGCTGGCTGGCCTCCATGAGCCCCTTCAAATTAAGATCTTTCTTTCTCCCACCCAGTCGTGTTTACTTAAGTATTTGGTAAAATTTCCTGGGCTAATTAGTAAATCCTGAAACAAACAATGGGAATTTATATTCATTTTATTTTATTTTACTTTTGGCAGTACTGGGGTTTGAACTCAGGGCCTCATGCTTGCTACGCAGGCACTCTTATCACTTGAGCCACTCTGCCAGCGCTTTTTTTGTGTTGGGGTTTTTCGAGATACGGTCTTGTGAACTATTTGCCAGGGTTGCCTTTGAACCGAGATCCTTCTGATCTCTTCCTCCTGAATAGCTGGGATTACAGGCACGAGCCTCCATACCTGACCTTTTTTTGTTCTTTTTTGAGGCACTATGTAGCCCAGGCTAGCCTCAAACTTGCTTGTAGTTCTTCTGCCTCACCCTCCCAAGTGCTGTGATTACAGGCATGCACCACCACACCCAACTTATTTCACTTTTATAACAGAGTACATTTTCACTGACTTCTGTTTCCTACTTGTAAACAATGTGCTATGCATCTTAGAGTAAGATTCAAAGAGCAAGATTCAAAAAGTATGGTGAGTCCTTTACTCGCTGTTGTCAGTTGTCAGTGACTTTGGATTGCCTTACCAGAAATAAGACTTCTGGCTTTTAAAGACTCCAGCTTTGGTGCTGAAAATCCTTTGCAGGTTTTTCTTGCTGTTCCACAGTGTTCTACCGAAAGAACCTTTACGCAGGACCACTCTCAGCCGCTGAAATGCTTCTGTGAGGAGAGTGCCACTTTGTTCTGTAATCTCCCTGTGCCAGGCTCCCAGCTGACCCTCACACTCCCCCAGCTACTGCTGTTCCTCTCCCACCTGCTTTTCGAAGCTCCTTAAAAGGACCAATATGCCCTGTTCTTTTTTTTTCCGGTGTGACTGGGGTTTGAACTCAGGGCTTTGCACTGGCAAAGCAGGTACTCTACTCCTTGAGCCACACCTCCAGTCCATTTTGCTCTGGTTATTTTGGAGATGGAGGTCTCACAGACTGTTTGCCTGGGCTGGCCTCGAACTGAGATCCTCCCAGTCTCAGCCTCCAAGTAGCTGGGATTGCAGGCATGAGCCACCACCATTTGACTTGTTCCGTCCTTCAGTCTTTTTTCCTAGACATTTGAAAGAAAGGAAGGAAGGAGGGAGGCAAGAGAACTGCTTTTAAGGCAGTCCCACACAGCGTTCACTCAGTGTTGTGCCCTGCACAGGAGTTCACTTGGCCATGGGCACCTGTGCTGAGTGATGTCATGTGTTCCTGTTTGGACTTCACTACTTCAAACTGTACCTTGTGGCAGGGGGTCTCTCTATTGACCCCTGTTTAGATAATTGGTAGTTCACTTTATTATTACCCACCCTGATTAGGCACCTCCTCAGTGAGAGGAACGTTTTGCATCTTCTGTGAGAGCGTCCAGGCAGGCAGATGTGCTTTGTTGGGGATTTGGCGTGAGGAGGGGTGGTAAGAAACTAAACCTGCAAACTTATTGATCCCATGGGGTGGTAAGAGCTACGTCTCTGGCATACTACCTGTTTCTCTAAGGTTCAGAGTGCTTTTAGTTTTTTTTTTTTCCATTTTAAAAATTACAAAAGCAATTTATTAACCCCCCCACCCCCCAAAAAAGTGTTTTTTTTTTTTTTTTTGGTGATGGGCTTTATTTTTAGTTTTTATTTTTTTGGTGGTACTGGCGTTTGAACTCACCACACTTGCTAGGCAGGTGCTCTACCACTTGAGCCACTCTGCCAGCCTATTTTTGTGTTGGGATTTTAGACATAGGGTCTCATGAACTATTTGTTCAGGGCTGGCTTTGAACGATGATCCTCCTGATCTCTGCCTCCTCAGTAGCTAGGATGACAGACTTCCTTTTTGTTGTTGTTTTTATTTTCCCAGTATTGGGAACCTAACTCTGGGGCCTCACCTTTGTGCTGTTTTGCTAATGCTGTAGAATTACAACTTTGGGTTGTGCTTTTGGATGTGTTTGTTCCTAGGTAATTTCTAGGAGTGGGGTTCCACTCACTCGGTGCTGTGTAGCAATCGAACTACCTTTAGTCTGCTAGCATAAATGTGATGTAAGAAGTGTGCTAGCGGGGAGCCCAGAGGTGTTGGAACAGATGTGGGTGAAGGCTGGGCAAGGGAGGCCATGGAGCTTTCTGTCCACCTTGGCAGGGCTGAGCTGGCCAAGTTCATGCTTTGTCGAAGTGGAGTGTTACTGAGACTTTCTGGGCCTGGGTTTCCTGTCCCAATAGTTCTGTAGCTCTCTTCCTCAGGCCATGAAGGAAACAGTACATTAAGTTAAAATAGAACTTAGCCTTCCTTAAAACTATCACCTGGCCACTTGCTAATTATGTGACACCTTGAGAGTCCCCCTGCTCTCAGGTATAATGGTCCATTCACCAACCAGTTAAAAAAATCAAGGAATCAAGTGTATTTGCTGAATAGAGAAAAAAAATACTTAGAAGATGATCTGAAGTCAGGTCTCGTATGAATCAGAGGCTCAGAGGTTCATAAAGGAAGGAAGTGTTGAGCACTCCTTGTTTAGAAAAGGCTGAGAGGTCAGCTGTTTGCCAGTGTACACGATTGCCGAGTGACTGCACTGGGAGACTGCAGTAGGAGTCTTCCTACAACCAGCCAGGAGTCTCCAGGTACTGAGAGAGCTTGTCACTACATGCACGCCTCCCCCTTCCCTGCCTTCCAGCAGTTTAGAAAACCTCCTAGGGTAAAACTGAGGAATGTGACTCCCTGTCACAGACATGGGCTTCTGCATGGTGTGCTAGCTGCGTGTGTGTCAGTGTGATGGATGTGCAGTGGTTCCGTGTGGTCACTCATCCTGTTCTCTGTTTCTGTTGCAGCCCTTGCTAGCATCCAGCCATGGGGGACATGAAGACCCCAGATTTTGATGACTTGCTGGCCGCTTTTGACATCCCAGACCCCACTAGCCTTGATGCCAAGGAGGCCATCCAGACCCCCAGTGAGGAGAGTGAGAGTCCCCTTAAGCCTCAGGGCCTGTGTATGGATGAGAGTGTGTCCTTGTCTCACTCGGGATCAGCCCCAGACCTGCCGGCCGTGAGTGTCATTGTCAAGAACACCAGCCGCCAGGAGTCATTTGAGGCAGAGAAGGACCACGCTGCTCCTAGCCTTCTGCACAATGGGTTCCGGGGCTCAGCATTGCCTCCAGAACCCCACAGCTGTGGGAAGTTTGACTCCACCTTCATGAATGGAGATGGTGCCAGGAGCTTCCCTGGCAAGCTGGAGCCTCCCAAGTCCGAGCCACTACCCACCTTCAACCAGTTCAGTCCAATCTCCAGCCCTGAATCCGAGGATCCCATCAAAGATAACGGGTTTGGGATAAAGCCCAAGCACTCGGACAGCTATTTCCCACCTGCACCTGGGTGCGGGGCCATTGGGGGCCCAGTCCTGGAGGCACTGTCCAAGTTTCCAGTTCCTGAGCTACACATGTTTGATCACTTTTGTAAGAAAGAACCCAAGCCAGAGCCCCTGCCCTTGGAGAGCCCACAGGCACAGGAGCGGGGCGGGCAGAAGCCAGCAGAGCCTCACAAAGACCTGGATTCCTCCAGTCGATTCTTTGGGGAAGCTCTGGAATTCAACAGCCACTCCAGCAACAGTATCGGAGAGCCCAAGAAGCTTGCCCTGGAGCTTGGCACCTGCTCCTCAGTCCCCCCAAGGCAGCGGCTTAAGCCAGCTCATTCCAAGCTATCCTCTTGTGTGGCAGCCTTGGTGGCCCTACAGGCCAAAAGGGTGGCCAGTGTCACCAAGGAGGATCAGCCTGGCCATACAAAGGATCCCTCAGGGTCTACTAAAGAGGGTTCTAAAGGCAGCCCCAAAATGCCCAAGTCACCAAAGAGTCCCCGGAGCCCTCTAGAGGCCACTAGGAAGAGTATGAAACCATCAGACAGCCCTCGGAGCATCTGTAGTGACAGCAGCAGCAAAGGCTCCCCTTCTGTGGCTGCCAGCTCCCCGCCAGCCATTCCCAAAGTCAGAATCAAAACCATTAAGACGTCATCAGGGGAAATCAAACGCACCGTTACAAGGATCCTGCCAGACCCTGATGATCCGAGCAAGTCCCCTACTGGGTCACCTGGGGGGAGCGCCATTGGCGAGGCTCCAAGTGAGGCACCGGCGGAGGAGGGCATGGCCCTGACTGTGGAGGAGCACTTTCCAGAGGCAGGCACAAATTCAGGGAGTCCCCAGGGCGACAGGAATGGGGATGAGAGTATAACAAAGGCCAGTGACTCTTCGTCTCCCTGCCGCCGCTCTGGGTCCCGGGCAAAGGGGGCTGCCCCAGGCTCACAGACAGGCAAGAAGCAACAGGGCGCGGCAGTGCAGGCCTCAGCTGCGGCCCCTGCAAATCTCCTGCCCAAAGCTGTGCACCTGGCCAACCTGAACCTGGTCCCCCACAGCGTTGCTGCATCTGTGACGGCCAAGTCTTCTGCACAGAGACGGGGCCAGCCGCAACCCACTCAAATGTCAGTGCCCCTGGTCCACCAGGTGAAAAAAGCTGCCCCTCTGATTGTGGAGGTCTTCAACAAGGTCCTCCACAGCTCCAACCCCGTGCCCCTGTATGCGCCAAATCTCAGCCCGCCTGCGGACAGCAAGATCCATGTGCCGGCCAGTGGGTACTGCTGCCTGGAGTGCGGGGACGCCTTTGCCTTAGAGAAGAGCCTGAGCCAGCACTATGGCCGGCGGAGCGTCCACATCGAGGTGCTGTGCACGCTGTGCTCCAAGACGCTGCTCTTCTTCAACAAGTGCAGCCTGCTCCGGCACGCCCGTGACCACAAAAGCAAGGGGCTGGTCATGCAGTGCTCACAACTGCTCGTGAAGCCCATTGCTGCGGACCAGATGTTCGCCTCAGCGCCTGTAAACTCCACAGCACCAGCAGCCCCGGCCTCCTCCTCCTCCTCCCCCAAAGCCAGCCCTGCCCCGGGCAGTGCCAGCTCTTCCCTACCAGCCTTGCCGCTTTACCCGGACCCTGTGAGGCTCATCCGGTACGGAACCAAATGTCCTGAATGTCACAAGCAGATGAGGGACTACATGGTCCTGGCTGCACATTTCCAGAGGACGGCGGAGGAAGCGGAGGGGCTGGTAAGCAGGCTATCACTGATGAGCGTCAGGCCCTGGCTCCCACGGGCTCCCACGGGCTCTCCTGGGCTCGGAGAGAAGAGCCTGTTGACTTGGGAGTGAGCAGTGGTGGAATCTCGGGAGTCTTAGAAGCAGACTCCTGCTCGATGGTTAGTGGCCGGTAGTGTATAGTGCTTGGAAAGATGGGTCACCCATGCCATGGGGAGACCCTGAAGATTTAGCAAGTTCAGCCAGGTGTGGTGGTGCAGCCTGTAATCCAAGCACTCAGGAGGCTAAGGGAGGAGGAGCGCACCTGGACTACACAGTGAGACCCTGTCTCAAAAAGATTTAGCAAGTGTATTTATGGACGTGCCTCGTGTTCCACTCGGCTCCCCTTCCAGTGACTGTGAGGCCTGTGATCCGGCCTGGGACAGGTCTCTGCTGGATGGTCTCTTTCTGGTTTCTAGCAGGTGTCAGCATGGTTTTGGCCTCAGCCCAAAGACCATGGGGACAGAGGTGAGAATCACTGCCCCATGTCTTAGTCTGGTCTTCTAAGAACTGTCTTTAGAAAGTTGTTCTGCCCCATAGTGGGCACAGCTATTTTGTGGTCCCTTTGTGGGTACTTGAGAAAGGAGAGGCAGGGCTGAGGTGGAAGGAAGGAGAGTAGATGGACATATGGACCCCGGCAGAGGCCTTGGGGGCCTCCTTTCATCCATGCTCTCAGAGCTCCAGGAAAGCAGTTGGGCTTATCTGCTTGTTCCGACTCGAGGTTCTGGTTGACGAGTGGCTTTCTAAGAAGCCGCTCGGCGCTGAGAATGCCCTTTGGCACCCTCTATGTCTGACTGTCTGCATTAGTGGGCCCACCAAGGAGGAAGACGGCATGCCAGCCAGCATGGCTGTAATCCCAGCACTAGGGAGGCTAAGGCAGAAGGATCACGAGTTCCAGGCCAGCCTGGGCTATGTAGCAAGACTCCATTTAAAAAAAAAATAGGAGGCTTCCAGACATGCCTCCAAAAAGGGTTCTCTTCATCACACAGCCAAGCCCATCCTGTCATCCAGCCTCCCTAAGCCAGTATACCTGGGGCCTGTGCTGCTGCTGGTGGCTGTTGAGCTTATCGAGTTTCCCATAAGCCGCTTTACTGGCGGTTCTGTGCTGCTGAGTACTAGCAGGCAGGAGGAAGTCACCCCTTCCTCCAGGAGCTCACAGTGACTCAGCAGAGGCAGCGGCCACCACCAAGCAGCAGCAGTGTGTGACAGACTAAGATGGGGGCTAGAGCAGTCTGTGAACCCAGGTGCACCAGTACTCAGGGACTGATGCATAGTGGGTGCAGGCTGAGGAGTGGTTGGGACGGCAAGGGTGGTGAGGGCGCTCCAGCCATAGGGAGCAAAGGCCTTTGAGGTGTTGGGTGTGGGGGTGACCACTGCAGTGCTAGGGTGCAGGCAGCAGGTCTAGCCTGGTAGGTCTGCAGGGTTTCTGCAGAGGACTCAGCCCCAAAGCAGCCAGGGGATGCTGTAGCTCCCTTTGTGGCTTCTCATGTCCACCACCTCTCCGTCTCCTGTGCCTTCTGATGAGTCAGGTATGATCCCCGGCCCCTTCCCAGGGGCTTCAGTGTTCTAGCTGCCAGGAATGCTTGAGTTGGGCCAGGAATCCTTTTTCCTGAGTCTTGTGACAATGACCTTGGCAGTGGAGGTCCGATGCCTGGGTCTATGGTTTTTCCCACTGCTTCTTACCCATCTTCTAAAATGTGTTGAAGTAGGGCTATAGGATCCCAGGCTGGCACCCTTATCCTCCATCTTCCCTGTGTAGCTCTCCCCAGACAGGATTGAAGAGCACCTTGGGAGTCTGTTGGCTTCTCTGGCATAGCTTGAGTCCCTCACAAAATCTCCTGCCAGGGATCAAGACCCAGGCTCGAAAGCTGTTGTGTTGGGTTTCCCGTGACAGTACCCAAGCTTCAGGCTCCATGTCCGGGGCAGGGGCTGCCTAGGTGAGCTGGGGTGAGGCTCTGTATTAGCCGTGTCTGGGACTCCGTCTTCCTCTTGGAGGTCTGCCCTGACCGGATTTGCCTCCTACTGAAGGCTCTCCTCCTCCCTTTGGGCTCCAGGTCACCTTGTTGGAACAGCATCTCTCAAAAGGGAAACTGAATTGAATCTAGTCTATATTGCTAGCTATGTTGTTGTCACTCCCATAAAATTAATGGCAATTCCTTAATACTGCCTAGTATGTCCACATTCAAATTTTCTCAATTATGTCAAAAATTTTTTTTATAGTTGAGACTTGTTTTTTCTTTTTGAAGCAGGTCTTGCTGTGTAGTCCATGGTCTCAAACTTGTGATCTTCCTGCCTCAGCCCCCCAAATGCTGGAATTACAGGGATTTCCCACTATACCTGGCTTATTTTGTTTATAATTTTATTTTTTTATTAATTTTATTTTTGGCGCTGGGGATCAAACCCAGGCCCTTGAGCATGACAGGCAAGCATTTTACCTCTGAGCTGTACTCCCAACCTGGCCGCTTTGTTGAATCAGTGCCTAAACATGGCTTATATTACGGTTGTATTTCTTCTTCTTTTGTATTTTTTTATTTTTGGCAGCACTAGAGTTTGAACTCAGGGCCTCACACTTGCTAGGCAGGTGCTCTACCACTTGAGCCACTCTGTCAGCCCTTTTTTTTTTTTTGTGATGGGTTTTTTTGAGATAGAGTTTCGTGAACTCTTTGCCCAGGCTGGCTTCAAACCACTATCTTCCTGAGTAGCATTTTTTTTTTTTTTTTCTGGGGCTTAAACTCAGGTCCTAAATCTTGAGCCACTCCACCAGCTCTTTTTTTGTGAAGCTGTTTTTTGAGATAGAATCTCTCAAACTATTTGCCTGGGGCTGGCTTCGAACCTTGATCCTCTTGATCTCTGCCTCTTGAGTAGCTGGGATTACAGATGTGAGCCACTGGCGCCCTACAACAGCACATTGCCCCAGCCTAGCCCACCATAGTCTTCATGCCGTTGACACGGGGTCCTGGGTCCTCAGAATTTTTCAGGACAACTCTGGTTTAACTGATTTCTCATGCAAGTATTTTTTCCCTCCATACACCATATTTTGTCTGTAGACTAGAATTTAGCAATACCTACCAGATTGGGTCTGGGTTGAGGATGCACTTTTCTTCCGGTTGGGTGACTTAAGAGATACAAAGCACCTGCTGCTCTCACTGATACTGGCGCTGACTTGATTGGTGAGTGGAGGTGCTTGCTTTTACCCAGTGATTTCACTGTCCATCAACAATCATGGTGAGAGGAGCTGCAACATGTGTTTTTCTAGTTTTATTTTTAATCACGTAAGCTGGAATTCTGTATAAATACCTTTTCCTCTTCCAGGAGGCCTTTCTGTTACTCTGAAATATAGTTTATGTTGAAAAATGGGAGAGTTAATTTGTTTCCTTTAATGAAGTTTTCAGAGAAGTGAGTTCATGCCCTGACAAGCTAAGAGTGTTCTAGGAGTCTCTCTTCTATCATTTTTAAAACTATGGTAAAACACACAGCGTCAAGTTTCCATCTCACGCACAGCTCAGTGATGGGAGGTGTATTTACGTTGTACAGCCCATCTCCATAGTGCGTCTCAGCTCCCCATTTTCCCCCTCTCCCCACCCCTGGCAGTCACCATTCTCTTTTCTGCCTCTGTGGATTTGATTCTTCTAGGCACCCCATGAGTGCACTCCTGCAGTATTTGTCTTTTGGTGGCTGGCTTATCTTGCCTAACATGTCCTTAAGGTCTGTCCACATTGTAGCACGTGTCAGAATTTCCTTCTGTTACAAGGCTGAACCAGGTGTGGTGGTTACAGCTGTAATCCCAGCACTTGGGAGGCTGAGGCAAGAAATATGGAGTTCAAGACAAGCCTGGGCTGCATAATGAGACCTTGTCTCAGCCCTCCCCCTCAAAGCAAAAGATGAATTATGTTCCACTGTATGTGCGTGTACGCACACATGCATGTGCACGCATGCACACACACGACATTGCTCTCAGGTACGTGGGTTTCTTCCATGTTTTTGCTAGTGTGAATAATGCTTGTGCAAGCATCGGCATATCAGCATCTCTTTGGGACGCTGGTCCTTTGGGTGACTACCTAGAGATGGCTGTTTAATTTCTGAGGACCCAGCAGTGCTGAGGAACACCTGTTTCCTCATCGCCTCACAACACCTCCGCTGTCTGATTTTTTTCACAATACCCATCCTCATGGGCGCTCTTAGTTTAGTTTTGCCATGAAAATGAACTCACCGGCTTTCGTGTATTCAGTCTATTTCTTTGTTCAGTTACATTTTTCGGTGCTCAAGTTACCCTGCCTTAGTCAGCGAGCGCCCTGCATGCTGGCTCCTGTGTCCTTTTAACGTGAACTCACCAGTGCTTGAGACGCTTCCTGGTTTTCAGTCCCAACAAGATGTCCTGGACACTTCTTTGCTAAGCATGTCAACCATTTCTCCTTTTAGTGGGGCTTGGTATTTAGAGGCCACAATCTGGGTACAAGGTAAGCTTCCGGCCACCTTTTAGTGTTTCCTTCTTAGTGGTCAGAACCAGGAAATGTGTGTTTTCAAAAGGAGGAAAGGAGAACCATGACACTGATTCTTAAGCTGATAGTCTCCCTCCCTCCTTCCTTCCCTCCCTTCTTCCCTTTCCTTCAACAGGATCTCACTGTATACTAGGCTGACCTTGAACTCAGTTCTCCCACCTCAGCCTCTCAAGTGCTGGGGTTGCAGGTGTGTGCCACTGCTCCCAGCTTCATGCTGGATTTTCTGGCTAAAGCAGAGGTTTTTTCCTGTCTTTGCTAATAATTGTCCCTTTGAGCACCTCCTCTGACCCCGGGTTTGTGGCCCCCCAGTGAGCAGCAGAAGTGTCCCCTTTTCACTGTGGAGGTGGGAGAGGCCTCTCCAGGATGCAGCACCAGCCCATGTGTTGCTGTCCCTCTGGATTGTCTGGATTCTGCCCACGGGAAGGAAGAAGTTGTCGCCGTCCTAGAGGTGCACAAGGAAGACCGTTAGTGTGGCTCTAAGGTTAGCGTGGCTCTAAGGTTAGCGTGTGGGTATCGACCTTTGTAAGGAGGCCAGGGGTGTCAAGGGTCCTTCAGGAGTCAGAAATGAGAATGGTAGGGAAGCTGTGTGGACCGTGTCCTAGGAGAGCCAGGCAGCTGTGCCGGGAAGCCCCAGTGTGGCGCCTGGGGCACCCGCGTGACTGGCTTTCTCATTCTCTCCTAGGTCTGTCAGGTGTGCCAGATGCTACTGCCCAACCAGTGCAGTTTCTGTGCACACCAGCGAATTCACGCACACAAGTCCCCCTACTGCTGCCCGGAGTGTGGTGTCCTCTGCCGCTCTGCCTACTTCCAGACCCACGTGAAGGAGAATTGCCTGCACTATGCCCGCAAGGTGGGCTACAGGTGGGTGCTGCCTGGCTCACTGTTCTGGAATTGCCCAGTGGCTGGTCCTTTCCCTCAGCCAGAACTTGATACTGTGATTTGGTCTTTTGTGGTCATTTTGTGGTTCTGGTGTTTGAACTCAGGGCCTCGGCCTTACCAGGCAAGTGGTCTTCCACTTGAGCCACGCCCCCAGTCTTTCCTCTTTTTAGCTTGGTTTTTGGATAGGGTCTCACCCTGATGTTCCCGGGCTGGCCCAGGATGCTCATACCTCCACCTCCTGATTTTCTGGGATTAAAGGCATGTGCCGCCATGCCTAGCTGAGATTTGGTCTTTACTAAGATCAGTAGGACAGGGATACTGATTGGTATGTAGATAGACTTTTTATTTTACAGATGGCAGGAAAAGCAAGAGAAATTACATATCAAGTAGTTTTGAAGGGAGATCAGAACATAGCACTCTATTTTTATGCATCCCCTACCTTGTTTTTTTGAGACAGGATCTCACTGTGTAGCCTAGGCTAGCCTCAAACTTGTTTGCGTTTGTCCTGCCTCAACCTCCTGAGTGCTGGGATTGCAGGTATGCACTACCATGCCTGGCTTGTTTAATTTTTTTTCAATATTTAATTTTATGGGTTATGGTGGCACATGCCTGTCATCCTAGCACTTGGGAGGTGGAGGATCATAAGTTCCAGGTCAGCCTGATTACATAGCAAGACCCCAAGACCCTGCCTCAAACGAAACAAAACAAGATGAACAAAAGTATATAAATTTAATTTGTTCACAAAGTTATGTTTGGCACAAACATAAATTTAAAGTACTGTTTCTATAATTTTACTTCAAAATGTCCTAAGTTTTCATTAACAAAAGAGGCTGTAAACTGGTAGAGTGACTCAAGTGTTAGACCACCTGTCTAGCAAGCATTGGGGCCCTGAGTTCAAGCACCAGTACCACAAAAAGTAAATAAACAAACAAATAAATGGGCTGTAAGACACCAAACTTGACTGTCTTCATTTTGTGAGAAAGAAATAAAACTTGAGGCTGGAAAAAGGCCAGGCTGGTAGTAAAACCAGAAAGACGACTCTTACTATAAACTGAATCTCCTCCATCGTGTTGAGCATTTATGAGCAAGAAGTCATTTCCAGGAAAAAGGTGAAAGTGAGGGCAAAAACCCAGGGAGAAGCTCCTGCTTTATCATTTTCACTTCTCAAAGTTAATTTTGATGAAATTTAGTCAGGCTTTGGAATTTCAGAACATTTTTATTTAATTCATTTGATCTTTTTTTGTGGGTCCTTATTGTCGTGAGCACTGAGCCAGACATGCAGAATACAAAGGTGATTAAGACACAGCTCTTAGCCAGATATAGTGAGCACGCCTGTAATCCCAGCACTCAGAAGGCTGAGGTGGGAGGATTGATCTTGAGTTTGAGGTTACCCTGGGCTGCATAGCAAGATCCAACCTCACAAAAAGAGAAGAGAAAAGATTACATCTCTCACCCTTCAGGGGGCTTCAGTCTGGTAACTATAACTCAGAATTCTGAGTCTCACAGGAGTGGAATGGTTTCCAGAAGGCAGTAGGAGGTTTTCAGGCAGAAGAAAGGGGAGAGCGGATGTGGCAAGAGTGCAGGCAGGAGAGCAGCAGACTCAGGGCGTTGCCAGAATGATAAGCAGTTGTGCAGTTGGTCAGGATGCACTGGGGAGTGATGGGAACAAGCCTGGGGAGGGGCAGAGGTCCGGCCACGCAGCACCTGTGTGCCCTGCAAACGTCTGGACTTTATCTGGTGGATATCGAGGAGCTACAGAATGGTCTGCAGCAGGGGAGCGTCTGACTGGTCTGTTCTAGAAAGAGCATTCTGGGAAAGTGGCCCAGGTGTGTCTGTGTGGTAGGGAGACCTGAGGGGCAGGTGTGGTGATGCAGATAAGACAGACTTCCGGGCTTAGCCTGCAGATGGAGGGAGGGTGGACTTGAGCAGGGTGGAGGGGGAGAGGTATCAGGTAGACAACGAACGATAGCTTTCATGTTGGGAGTAAGGAAGGGGGTGGCCTAGTAAGGGCTTCTGGGTGTCCGACTCGCTATAAATATTTCTGAATGGAGGTTAAGTTGGTTGTTTTGTGTGTGCATGCTACAGAGGACAGAGAGACACATTACACAGTCAGGGTCACACAGAGCTCTTGCCACCATGCTGCAGAACGGTGCTCTGTGACTATCACCAAAGCAAACACTTGAGCATGTGTTTTATAGCATCCTGTATCACTGAAAGACCTCTGTAACTACGACTTAAGTGAATGCTGCTTATTCTAAGATCACGTCCAATCAGTAGCAAGGTGGTCAATACTGAACTAGTCATCTTTGAGTCTTATTTATTTATTTATGCATGCAGTGCTAGGGAGGGAACCTAGGGCCTCACACCGGCTGGGCAGAAACTCCCCCACCGAGCTACACCCCCAGCCCATTTTTGAATCTGAAATCCAAGAAATTCTCAAGGATGGATTCTTTTAAGTTTGTTTTTTTTTTTTTTTTTTTTTTGAGAGGCTTTCACTCTCTATCCAACCCAGGCTGGCCTCACACTTGGGATCCTCCTGCTTCAGCCTTCTGAGTGCTGGATTACAGATGTGCGGCGCCATGCCTGGCTGTTCTTTATTTTGTTTTTAAGGCAATGTTTTGTTTTAATTTCTTCTGTAAGAGTAAACAGAAACACAGTGTCTCAAAAGCAAGTGAACTTACCAAGCCTTTTTGTAAGGAATGCCAGATAAAAATGTGATGCCACCAGAAGGATGACTGAAGGAAATGACACTTAAAACCCTCAGTGAGTGACCTGTGCCTGGACTCAAAGGTCAACACACCAGCAAAGTCTTTGTTATGATCCTTAACCATTAATGTCTGGGAGGGTTTTTTATTTTGTTTTCTGTTTTTTACACTTTTCATGCAATACAATTCACCCAACTTTGAGTACTGTATACGACTCAGTGGTTTTTATGGTATTCACATGAGCTGTATTGTCACCACAAATGATGTCAGAGCATTTTCTCATCCCAGAAGAAACCCCAACCTCCATCCCTCCCCATCCCTTAGCAACCAGGCATTTACTTTCTGTCTCACAAACTTCTCTCTTGGTCCTTATGTAAATGGAATCACATAGTGCATGCTCTTAGCACAGTGTTTCCACGATTCACCCATGTCATGACATAAATCAGCATTTCATTCCTTTTCGTGGCTGAATGGTACTCCCTTACACGTACAGATTATATTTTGCTTATGCAATTGTCAGTTGATGGATATTTGGGTTGTTTCCAGCTTCCTCCTGTTAGGGAGCATATGGGTACCAGTTCTTGTGTGGATGTATTTTCCTTTCTTTGGAGTCTATACATAGGAGTGGAATCATTAAGTCAAATCAAAACTCTCTGTTTAAGTTTTTGAGGAGCTGACTGTTTTTCAAAGTGACTGCAACCGTTTTAACATTGCTGTCAGCAGTGCATGTAGGCCTTTACCTCTGCATCCTTGCTAGCATTTGTTACTGAGTCAGGAGCTCACTGTGTAGTCCAGACTGGCCTTGAACTCACAATCCTGCCTTGGCCTCCTGCAGATCACTAGTGAAATTAATGATTAGACACTGTTTGTTCTAAAACTTTACATATTTCACAACATATGACTCTATATTTCTGTTTTCTCTTTGAGAAAAAATGTGGCCATAGGGCCAGGTGTGGTGGTGCGTGTCTATAGTTCCAGCACTTTGGATTCTGAAGCAGGAGGATTGTGAGTTCCAGTCCAGCCTGGGCTACATAATGAGACCCTGCTCAAAAACAAAATAAAACAAAACAAAAAACAAACAAGAAGCAAACAAACCAAAACCTGGCCAGAGGTGGAGTTGCGAGGCTGGTCTCTTTCTCTACACATCGTCATGGGCTGTGCTGTCCACTTGCTGGGTCCCGCTCCTCTTGTCATGCTCTTCTGCCCCATGTGTCCTTGCTTCCATGAGGTCCTCAAAGAGCATCCACTGCAGACAGAGACGGCATCTCGAGTGGCACTCGAGGTGTTTCTGCGGGAAATAAATAAATAAACAAAGCCACTTGGGATGAGAAAGAGATGCTTTATGCACACCTTGTGTATTTGACTGCTTGATGAATTTGGAAAATCAGATTTTTTTCCTTCTGATAACACCTTGTAGTGTGGAAGCTGCTTTCACAGTTTTTTTGATTATTTGGTTGATTGGCTCCAGACATTGAATCAGGGCCTTGAGTTTCACTACTGTTTAGCAGCAGTGAAAAGAAAGTAAGTAGCTTGTAAGCCAGGTGCTGGTGGCTCACTCCTGTAATCCTAGCTACTTGGGAGGCAGAGATCAGGAAGATTATGGTTTGAGGCCTGCCTAGACAAATAGTTCTCGAGACCCTATCTCCAAAATAACCAGAACAAAGTAGACTGGAGGTGTGGTTCAAGTGGTAGAGCACCTGCTTTACAAGCATGAGGCCCTGAGCCCAAACTCTGGTCATTACCTCCTCAAAAAAATAGTAGCTCATAGGGATTTTTTTGGGGAATACTGAGGTTTGAATTTAGGGCCTCACTCTTGCTAGGCAGGTGCTCTATCACTTGAGCAACTCTGCCAGCCATTTTTTGTGATGGGTTTTTTTAGATAGGGTTTCAGGAACTGTTTCCCCGGGCTGGGTTCGAACTGCGATGCTTCTGATTGCTGCCTCCTGAGTAGCTAGGATTACAGGCATGAGCCACTGGTGCCTGGCTAGAAAGGCAGTATTAATAGTGATGTTTTGTGGTTGAAATAAAAGTTCACATGGCCTCAATTTCAGAGGAATGATTTAAAATAATCCCATATTACATTTATTTATGCATTGTGAAGATATAGCTCTGCCAAACAAAAATGACAAGTGCTGTAATCCCAGCACTTGGGAGGCTGAAGTAGGAGGATTGGGAGTTTGAGGCCAACCTGGGCTACATAGTGAGACCATGTCTCAAAACACAAAGGAAAGGAAAGCGTGCTCCAAGGAGCTGACACACTATTTTAGAGTTGTGACATCCAGAACAACCCAGCCACACGTGGCTGCTGAGCAGTTGGAGTGGGGTCAGGGCAGCTGAGATTGCTTTGCTTTAAGCAGCCACAGGCAGTGCAGCTCAGACCACATCGTCCTCAGCCTACCACCACACTCCCCTGGGCTCGATCGCTTGTTAGCTTTAGTGTCGTGGCATGCGGTGAGCACGGTGCCTTCCCTGGCCATGTCCGTGTTAGCGGCTGCACCCCTTTCTCAGTGCCAGCCTCTCCTCTCAGGCAGGGAGAGGTGTTGGCTTCAGCAGCTTGGCACATTGCAAATGGACCCTTCTTCCTCTTCTCTCCCGCCAGCGGGGGAGAACCGGTGTTTTTCCCCTTCTCTACCAGGCGTGGCCTTGGCTTGAGGGGCCCTGAGCATCCGCTCTGCATGGTAGCAAGGCACTCCTGACATCCTGCACAGAGGGGAAGGGTCTCCCTCTGGAGGACGGAGAGGGTCTCCCTGAGATGGCACTGTTCCTCCTCCTCTTCCAGCACCACCTCGGTCTGACTGCCCCCCCTTGTTGTCCAGGTGCATCCACTGTGGTGTCGTCCACCTGACCTTGGCCTTGCTGAAAAGCCATATCCAGGAGCGGCACTGCCAGGTCTTTCCACAAGTGTGCATGCTGCCCCATGGCCTTCAAGACCGCCAGCAGCACTGCAGAGCACAGCACTGCCCAGCACCCCACCCAGCCCCACAAGCCCACCCAGTGAGTGCAGCTCCAGGGCCACCAGGCCTTGGGGCAGGGAGCAGAGCCTGGGTGGTGTGTGCATGAGCCGGGAGCCAGTCAGGGGAGGACTCATGCTGGGCTGCAGGGAGAGGATCCCCAAAGCTCGGCCCGGTGGTCCCTTACACTCGGGCTCTCGCAGGCTCATCTACAAGTGCTCCTGTGAAATGGTCTTCAACAAGAAGCGGCACCTTCAGCAGCACTTCTACCAGAATGCCAGCAGGACACAGGCTGGCATCTTCAAGTGCCCTGAGTGCCCGCTCCTGTTCCTGCAGAAGCCTGAGCTCATGCAGCATGTCAAGGTGGGTGCCTGGGGAGGAAGCAGGGAGGGCCCGTGCCCTAGGTCAGGTTCTGACTCTGCATCTTTCCCCTCGCCCAGTCAGTAATTACTCTCCCCATTCCCAGAGCACCCACGGTGTTCCTCGAAATGTGGACGAGCTGTCAAGCCTCCAGTCTGCAGCAGACACGACATCCAGCCGCCCTGGCTCTCGAGCTCCCGCTGAGCCCCCAGTCATGAGTGTGGCTGCTCCAGGCAGCTCCCTGCCCTCTGGCCGCTGGGGCCGACCAGAAGCCCACCGCCGGGGGGAAGCCAGGCCCCGGCTGAGGAGCACGGGCTGGACCTGCCAGGAGTGCCAGGAGTGGGTTCCTGATCGGGAGAGCTATGTGTCCCACATGAAAAAGAACCACGGACGGGTGAGCACAGCCATGCGGTCCCAGTACAGTGACCTGGGCTCTCTGGGCTTCAGTCCTGTGAGGTTAGGACCCCTTTATGTGGCTGGTCCCCAGGCTTCCTGGTGCTTTGGGCAGGGTGGGACCCACATGTCTTAGGCTTTTGGGGGCATCTGAGAAGAAAGAGGCCCCTGGAAACTATCTCAGGGATCCAGTGCTCTGTGACCTGTGACCTCCTCCCTTAGACACTGAAGCGGTACCCGTGTCGGCAGTGTGAGCAGTCCTTCCACACCCCCAGCAGCCTGCGCAAGCACATCCGTAACAACCATGACACAGTGAAGAAGGTGTACACGTGTGGGTGAGTCCCGATTGGGAGGGGGAGCCGGGGTCCACAAGATGCTGTTTGTGACACCACTGAGGCTTTCTCTGCTATGAGATCAGGAGGGACTGTGGCTCAGTCAGAAACCTGCCTCCAGCACCTGGTAGCTCCTGAGCTCCCCCTCATCTCACTCTCCAGCTCTGGGCTCGCGTGGTGGTGAGGGGCCCCAAGGTTTAAGAGGAGTGGTGGTGATGTGCTTGTGCCCCTCCAGTGACCAGCTGCCCTGCTCCAGGACATACTCTACCCCTTACCCTGACCGATAGCCTTGCGGTGGGGCTCTGGGCAGTGACATCGGGGAATGAGATCGTGGCTGAGGGCCAGGTGTCATTCCTTGCCACCTGACAGCTAGGATTATAGGTGTGAGCCACCAGTGGCAGCCGAGGATGCAGCTGTCTGCCTGCTTGCTGTGATGTTTGTGTAGAGCCCTTCCCCTCTCCGCTGTGCTCCTGCAGGTACTGTACCGAGGACAGCCCCAGCTTCCCTCGGCCCTCCCTCCTGGAGAGCCACATCAGCCTTATGCATGGCATCAGAAGCCCTGACTTGAGCCAGTCATCCAAAGTCAGACCTCCTGGCAGACATTCCTCTCAGGTGAGTGTGGGCTGCCTGTTCAGTGAGGCCTGGGGCTAAAGAGACGTTCAGAGGCTCAGGGGAGCCCGTGGGTAGTTGTGGCTATGGAGCAAGCAGAACGACAGCTGCTCGATGTGGTTACTGTAGTCCCATGTCAGTGTACCACATAAGTAGAGGACAGAGACCAGGACCCAGGAGGCAGCCTGTTCACCCTTTGTCACTGTTGTTCCCCTGTCGCTGTAACCTGTTCTGTCTTTCAGCGATCCTGTGAGGCAGGGGCAGATGGGGCCATGATCTGGGCCAAGTCCCCTGACTGCCCACAAATTGTGGGAAAGGCCTCTTGCCCTTTGACCTCATTCCACTTCTGGTGGATTCCTGGGACAACCTGATCTTTCCTGACTGCATGTGCTCCACCCAGGAGTCAGGCATGTCTGTGAAGCTCAGAGAGATGCCTGGAGTTCGAGGGTGTTTTCTTGTTTGTTTGTTTTTTTGAGTTTTCTTTTGGCAGCATGGGGTTTGAACTCAGGGCCTCACACTTGCTAGGCAGGTGCTCTGACCACTTGACCCACTCTGTCAACCCTTTTTTGTTATGGGTATTTCTGAGATAGGGTCTCAAGAACTATTTGTCCTGAGCTGACTTTGAACGGTGATCCTCCTAATCTTTGCCTTCTGCATAGCTAGGATTATAGGTGTGAGCCACCAGTGGCAGCTGGAGGGTGTTCTTGAAACTTTCTTGGCTATTCAGTGGTGCTAGCTGGCAGAAGTTTCATGCCTAGTAGGTGGAGTGTCAATTAATTTTTTTGTTTTAGCAACATCTGTCCATGAGAAAAGTGTATGTTCTCCCCTTCCCAAAATGCACATGCCCTCTGAGCCAGCAGTTCTGCTTCTAGGACTTGTCTGTAGAGAGTTTTGACCTTGGTCATAAGGAAGTGTGTTCCAGGCTGTTTGCTGCAGCTCTACGCAGGAACAAAGGTGGAACTCAACTAAATGTCTCCCATGGGGCCATTGCCCCACGATGGGTCAATGTGCTGCCGGTAGGTGAATAAAGCCACTGTTTGTGCCCTCATGGAGACAGCTCCATGTCTCTCAGTAGAAAAACACTGTGCATAACATGCGCTCATTTTATAGAGGACAAAGATGTTTCTTGGAAGAACTCAAAACCCAGGTAGTGTGTGGTGATCTTCGGCGAACCACCTGGGAGTGAGGTAGGAAGGACTTGATCTGCTCTCTGTTCTTGCCATGTATTTGGGATGCTGTGCTCCATGAATATGTTACATTAAAAAGCAAGAACTTGCTGGCTGTGGTAGTACATATCTGTAGTTCCAGCAGTTGGGAGCCAGAAAGAGACAAGAGGATCTCAAGTTCCAGGCCAGCCTGGGCTAATTAGGGAGACCCTGTCTTAAAAAAGAGGAAAAGGAAAACCAAAAAAACCCCAAAACCAAAAAACAAAACAAAAGAACTGAAACAAACCAAACCCTGACTGAGCAGTGCCTTCTTTGGGCTTTGGCTGCACTGCTCACGTGCAGGCCTCAGCCTGGTTTCTGCTCATGCTGTCTCTGCTTTCAGGTGAACCATCTGAAAAGACCAGTCAGCGGAGCAGAGGAGGCTCCAGGCACCAGCACTGGCGCGGCTGTCCCTTCCACCAAAAGGCACAAGTCCCTTTTTCAGTGTGCGAAATGTAGCTTTGCCACAGACTCAGGGCTCGAGTTTCAGAGCCACATACCTCAGCATCAGGTGGACAGCTCCACAGCCCAGTGTCTGCTCTGTGGCTTGTGCTACACTTCAGCCAGCTCCCTCAGCCGCCACCTCTTCATTGTTCACAAAGTGAGAGACCAGGAGGAGGACGACGACGAGGAGATAGTGGAGGTGAAGGTGGAGGCAGCAGATCCGGAGGAGGGCTCTGGGGAGGAGGTGGCCATGGAAACTAGGGAGAATGGACTGGAAGGATGTGCTGACGAGCCTTTGTTAGCTGACCCAGAGGTGAGGGGATCACTGGGCCTGGCCCTGGAGGAAGACGGTGCCCAAGATGCTCACAGTGGAGCGCAGGCGCCTCAGGACCAGGACAGCCATGTGCTGTCCTCTCAGGTGTGACTGGAGGCTTCGCAGAGTGTGCTGCCAGGGCGGGGCTGCAGCATCTCCACCTGCTGTGCAGACTGTGGGAAACAAGGCTGGGCCCCAGTGTGCGGGAGACCGCTGTGCCCTGAGCGGTGTCTGCCCTGAGCTGCAGGTTCTGGTGTCCTCCAGCCCCAGGAAGTGGAGGGGATCACTGGGCCTGGCCCTGGAGGAAGACGGTGCCCAAGATGCTCACAGTGGAGCGCAGGCGCCTCAGGACCAGGACAGCCATGTGCTGTCCTCTCAGTGTGACTGGAGGCTTCGCAGAGTGTGCTGCCAGGCGGGGCTGCAGCATCTCACCTGCTGTGCAGACTGTGGGAAACAAGGCTGGGCCCCAGTGTGCGGGAGACCGCTGTGCCCTGAGCGGTGTCTGCCCTGAGCTGCAGGTTCTGGTGTCCTCCAGCCCCAGGAAGTGTGGGGCTGCCCAGGACCCGCACAGCTCTGAATTTGCTTGTTATTTATGGCTTTGTGCTGCTTCTTGGTACCCCAACTCTCGTCTGTGTCCTTCCAACCCCAGCCTACTTATGTGGCCCACCCAATGCTGTCACCTCAGTGTTCATGTCTCTGTGGGTGGGAGAATCTTCTGCACACCTCCTTTTGGAACTGGGGACAGTAGGAGGTCCCCCCAGGCAGGGGCCAAGAGTCTGACCTCCTTCAGAAGGAGCTGTGGGTGGGTCTCTGCTCTGCTGCTGTCTTGCCTCCCTGACAAGTGGGGTTTGGGCACACAGACATTGGGATATTTGTATTCTAGTTCCTGTGCCATTAGAGAGGCTCCTGTCCCAGGCAGGCCAGCCCCTCCTCCTCTCGGCTACACTCATGTTGCTCAGACTATATTTCAAATAAAAAAATCTTCTTACCACGCAGGTAGGCTCTTGTATTCCTCTTCAGGGGAGCCAGGCCCTTCCCTGCTTCGGCCCTCCCTTGTTTCCCATCTTGGAAAGAGAACAGGGCTTCCTCATGTCCAAGCAAGGTCCTCTCTGGGTTCTGGACCCTGTAGTTAGGAAACCAGGAGTCCCAGACTTCTCAGGTCTCTGGAAGAAGCAGAGGGAGAGTCTTAATACCTGTCACGTGCCACCTCCTAGGTCTCCCTTGGCGCTGTGGCCTTGATTTTAAGGCCTGTCAGTTTTCTGGTAGGTTATCAACCTACGAGCATGATTTATTGGTGAGGGTGGAGGGGAGCAGTTCTGTAATTTTGTCAGTGTTCAGAGACTTGGTGTTGTCACTGCCACATTGAACTCAGATATGGAAGAATTGGGATAGGGTGGTGAAAGGAGGGCCACCCCAAGTCCAGGGACAGGCTGTAGGCAGGTATTCTGTGTCCTCTGACCAGAGTGGCTGAGGCTGGGCCCAGCAGGATCTCATGCCGCACAGGGAAGTGGGTGCCTGCTGGGTTCTTAGTGGTGATCTTCCTGGGGCGGGGGGGGGGCGCATGAATATCAATTATGAATTAAATCAGATAAATAATGTCTGACCTTTTAACAATTGAAAAAATACTGAGTTTTTTTTCCCCTCTATCAAACGCCATATTTTTAGTGAAAAGCTAGTGGCGGTGGAAAGGTTGGTGTCTGCCCTGGTTTTGGAGAAACTGCCTGTCTACCATTTTAATGATGGGTCTTCCTGGCAAGGCTGCCACCTTCCCACTTCCTCAGCTGGTGGTGAGAGTGCGTTGGGCCTCTCTCTAGTTGCCTGCAAAGCCCAAGCAAGTCCCTTTCCTAATTCCAATTGCAAGGAGCCAGGGTGTATCTCCTCTCCTAAGAGCAGGTTGTTGAGGAGGCTGGTAGACAGGCCTGAAAATGATGGCCGAATTTCTACCCACTCAGAAACCATGGCAGTGAGGGCATAGGTAGCAGAGGTCCTGATGCCAGACATTCCTCTCCTTCCTCGGGGTGGGGTGGGAGTGAAGCCTGGGCCATAGCCTGGCTCTGAACCGCCCCCTGGCCTCATGGATACCTCCCTCAAAATAGAGCCAGTAATCCCACCCAGTTTCGCACCCCCCTCCCCCCCAGGCTTTGGGAGCTCACGGATGTGAGGGTTCCATACTTGACTTCAGGGCTTGGAGAGTGGAGCAGACCTCATCTGTTCACACCTGGATGCTGATTATCAGTTAAGTGGCCTGGCACACCTGTCCATTACTTAGTAATAGTGATGACAGTGTATGCTCAGTGTAGTGCTTCTTGGTGGCTCCCTCATTTAATCCTCACAAAGATCTCAAGTTGTCCCCCATTTTACGGAGAAGAAAACTGAGGCAGAGAGAGGTTAAATGTGTTAGCCCCTGTGATGGTGGTGCTGAGTCAAACCTGTCTACCACTGTGCTGCCTTAGTGACCAAGGCTGCTGGGGCTAGCTGTCAGCCGGTCGGGTCTGCAGCCATTCAACAATCCACTTCACTACTTCCCAAACGGTTGGAGTGTCCCACAAGCATCAGGTCCTTGTTGGAGTCCATCCGTGCCTTGTTACCCCAAGGAGAGCCCTGCAGGTTCACCGGATGTGACATCCCAAAGCACACTCAGTGTTCTTTCTCAATGAGATTTACTTTGCCATTTGAAAAGTAAAGGACTGTCCAGAAAAGGCTACCTAACCATCCCAGGCTTAAACCATCCCAGACTTAGGGCACATGTGGTTACCTCGGAGTCCAGTATCTGGTGATCTTTTTCACAAAGTTTTTTAATGGCCATGCTCTCATTTGTCATCAGCAGAGAAGGCTTGCTGCCGTGAACGCTCAGCTGATCGAGTTAGGCAGATAAGATCCCTTCGCTGTAGAAACTACCATTTAATATAAGCTGAGGCTTGACAAATGACTGGAACTTATTCTCCAAGTGCTTTCTCTCTGTAAGATGAAACGCTGAGTTCCGACGAGCTAATTGTCAGAAAGAACCTTCCCCTTATGTAAACAGTCTGGTTTTTGAAACACTTCACCGTGTGGTTCAACACATTCCCCCTTTGCCTTCCCCGAGAGCAAGGAACCTCTCTCCTGTCCACCACTGCCTGCTCTGCACCCAGAAATTTCTTTTATTTTTGGTTTGGTTTTAAAAATTAATACGTAGACATGATAAGCTACTGGACAGTACAAAAGAATATACAATAAAAACTAACTTCCCTGTGGAGGCTAGCCTCCAGCCCCTCTCCAGAGTTAATCACTGTTGTCTGTATCTCGTGTATCCTTTCAGGGCAATTCTATGCATTACAAGTTTATAAATAATGTATATTTATATATTATTTTTAATACAAACAGTAGCATTCTATCCAGTGTTCTGAAGTTTGCTTTTTTCACTTGCATAGTATTTTGGAGACTGTTCCAGACTCATACGCTGGTTCACTGTAATTCTTTGAAAGTTGGTAGCATAGCTCTTTTGGTTCCAAGAGTATGGATGAGCGAATGAGTGTGTGTGTGAACAAACAGATCTGATCTAAGTCAGGGGCTGACCTGATCAAGACAGGGCCTTCTAGGCTCTCAAACATTGTCTTCTTGTCTTTTTCCAAGGGGTTCAGGATGCCATGGGCCACAGGAGAAACCCAGCTCCCAAGTTAGGTTTTTTTTTTTTTTTTCTTTTTTCCAGGTCCCCATTTCAAATGCCTTTCATTTTTGGAAAATGATGTGACATTATTAGGGAAAATTAATTTTACTTATTCATTTATTTTGGCAGTACTAGGTTGTGAACTCAGGGCATCATGCTTGCTAGGCAGGCGCTCTACCACTTGAGCCCCTCTCCCAGCTGTTATGGAGAATTTAAAACACACATTTAGAACCTCATCATCTCACCATGGCACGTTCCAGCCCTTGTTCTGCACATTCACAGTTGAATTCATGGCGTAATTGGGATAATAACAATGGTTAATGGGTTAACATTGAACATTCCTATTCATATTTCAACTTTTTTTTTTTTTTTTTTTTTTTATGCTATGAGTTTTCACTGTGTAGCCCAGGCTGGCCTTTAACTCTCAGTCGTCCTGTCTCAGCCTCCTGCGTACTGGATTACAGGTGTGCACCACCACACCCAACTTGTATCTATTTTTAATGCAAAGAGTAATAGACATTCTTTTCACATTCATTTTCTTAAAAGCCTCATAACTATCCTGTAAGATAGATGCTACTATCACTCTTTCAGAGACAGTAAAATTGAGGTTCAGAGCTGGAGATGTGGCTCAAGTGGGAGACACCTGCCTACCAAGTGCAAAGCCCTGAGTTCAAACCCCAGTACCACCAAAGAAAAACGAGGTTCAGAGTTGAAATGATTTCCCTAACCCACAAAGCTAGCGAGGGCAGAGCTGCGATTCACGCTCCAGTGTAACTAACACTACCCTGGCTCTCTGACCCCTCATCCTGCTTTCTTAGCTCGTGAGCATGTTTCTACTTAACTTTAAATCATTTCTAATAATTATAATCACTTTTATTATGTCAGGTGAACATAATTTTCCTAGCCATTTCCTGTTTAGCATTTAGATTTCCATCAGTAAAATGAAGAAGGCTGAGCATATAGCTTTTTGCCTCTGTAGAATTATTTCTCTTCCTTCCCTTCTTCTCTCTCTCCCTCTTTCTTTCTCTCCCTCCCTCCCTTCCTTCCTTCCTTCACTGTTGTTTTTGAGGCAAGGTTTCACTATGCAGCCCAGGCTGGACTTTGATACCTCAGCTTCTTCTAAGTGCTGGGATTATAGGAGTGCACACCATGCCAGAAACTCTTTTGCCTTGGGTAATCTCACTGGCAGTGTGAGTACAGAGAAAGCCAGTTGACTGGAAATCAGAAACCCTAGGCTCCAATCTCTGCTTCACAAAGCCTTTTGGCCTTAGTTCTTTCTCAAATGCTGGGGGTTTGTTTATGTCTCTGGGTATCTTCGCTTGTCAAGACTGTCTATCCTATATTTGTTCAGGCCAAAATAGGACCCAAGGCAAGAGTTCTTACTGTATTTTCTTTTTGCATATTTACTTACTTTTGGCCTACATATACACAAAAATGAAAAAGACCCCCCTTTCCTCTTCAAGCAATATCACTTTTACTTGCATTTATTTGTGTTTCCATTTGCATCAGATCTATGCTTTTTCAGACAGAGTTCTAGCTTTGTTTTTCTTTCGCAACTGGTGTTTGAATTCAGGGCCTCCACCTTGAGCCATTCCACCAGCCCTTTTTTTGTGATGGGTTTT